AAAAAAAAACCTGCATAAGCCTATAATATGAACGCCTTAATCACGCAGATAGCATATTTAATGAAAAACAATAACATACATACATGCATACAGAAATATATTTGTACACATATACATGCACACCTCGGCTTTTGCATAAAGAGAATTTAGTCGCAGACTTAGTCAATTTGTTTACTATTCGTCAGAAATACTTAGGTAAATTACAAGTAACCAAGTGGGGCATAATAATGGCAATTATAATTTATGCACGGGTAAATGCATGCTTAGAAAATTACTAAAAATGCTATCGACTTTTCTCAAATAGAAACAATTTGGGAAACGAAAAAATACGAAAAACGATTTGTATAACCCAAACAAAAATGGCATATGCGAAAACTTAACAAAAAATAAGTTAAATTCGCCGTTTCCATATACACATGTACCAAAACGCGAAATAAGTAAACGCCATTTTTTATTGAAATTAAAAACAAACATCGACTTTGTATTAAAAGTTTAAACAAATTTCCCCAAAGTGTATATTATCAATGGCAAAGAAAACTGTTGTGTTAATTCTCAAAACATGAATCAAAATATCAATAATTTTGATTAAATCTATCATATATAGTTTATTAATATTGAAAAACGATCAAGGATATATTAAAAGCAATTATTCATATGGCACATGCAGCCTTCGTTAACAGTGAATAATAAACGTAGTTTTCTAGTACAACTCGCAATGTAATGCATCATTTTTTCCCCCTTTGGTTTGTTATTACTAGGGCTCGGAATCTCATGCACTAAAAAATCGAAAATATGCGCAAATAATATGCCCTTCAAATTCAAAAATTTGCGCTATTAACGAGTAAAATATGCAATTAAAAATATTTCCCTAATATTTTGTTGTCGGCACAAAAATAAATAACACATGTATTTTAACAAGCAACGAAAACAATTCCCTTCAAAATTCAATACACATTTATATATAAAATTAGTTTATAAGATGAATATTTGGTTGGTTTAACTGTATCGGTACACTAGTGACAAGCAATTAGCAAGTTTGCTATTTTGATTCCACAACTCGTACAACCTACAGCCAATTGGCGGCTTTCATGAATTTCAGTACGTCATACAGAGAGAAGCAGCTTCACTCTAAAATATTCTGCAGGAATGGCTTACTGAATGTCTTAACCCTCATTCTTTCGAGAGCTGGACCCTCATACATGAAGTATTCGACTATCTCTTTTGAGCCAGGGTCGTCGCAACTGCGACATAACCTGTTGAAGGGCAATCAAATCCTTTGAGCGTGTACCCCAACGGGCAAGTAACCTGTGCACACCGATGTCCCTATGTCCGTGGACCCATAATATGGTAATTTCGTATTGATCAGAGATATATGCCAGCTCTCTCCTACAGTCCTCCAATGGTTGAGATCAAGAGAGTACCTTAATGGCCGATTGGCTATCCGAGAAGATATTTAGATGAATATTTCGAAAAAAATTATAGGTAATTTTTTTGTCCAAAGATTTCGCACTAAATTTAAATGGTTGTAAATAAAAAAAAGCAACAATATGCAAAAAACAGATGCATTTATTGTAAAATATTCTAAAATATACGTAAAAATATGCAAAACCATGCATTTACTGCAAAATATGCACAATGCCATTTTAAAGGAAATTTGATGATTGATTTCCATTTGAAGATGCCCAGTAAAAAACATGCATTTGCATGAGATTCCGAGCCCTAGTTATTACCATTGTTGGCAGATTGTGTGCAGCACGCACGCTTGTTTGTGCATACAACACAGGAAAATTATGGCAATTACAGACATAATGTACAATACATAGTCTTGAACACTCAGTGGAGCAAGAAAGTAAGCAAAGTCTCAAATGGCAGCAGGCGCATGTGAATATCAGAAAATAGGAGTAATCATGGAGTTTTCTCCACAAAAAAAATAAATAAAATAAAAAATCAACCACCCACTGAGGAGCGATATAGCGTCAGCAAGCGGCCCCATAACGTCACTAACATGCAGCTGAGTAAATGAAATAAGGACGCCATATACAATAACAACTGCCAATGCCAGCTTAGCTTGTGTTACATTTTCATACATAGTATGTAGTAGGTGATCAGTGGGTGGTTGAATTCTCAAAAAACTCGCAATGTAAACAGTGGTTGTTCAAGTGGAACAAGCCAGTGGGTTTGTGTGTTTGAAAGTGTTGTTTAGGTGGATACAAATGAAAAAATACACACTTTAAGTATAATCAAACTTTAAGTGAAAATTTTTCAGCCCCTATTTTAGAAGTCTGTAATTGCTCGCATTTTTTTTTTCAAATAGCCTTCACGACAATATAAAAATGAAGTTCACTTACCCTCGTGCCATCTCCAAACTCTTGATGAGTTTCTTGATTTTCCAAATTTCGACATTGCGATCAGCAGACGTTTCCTCCCCAGACATGTTTATGGAGTTCTTTATTTACACTGCTTTTTACGACGTTCACTGCTTTTTCCTCCTTCCGTCCGTAGTAGCTGCTTTCGCTGCACACTAAATTCCAAGTGTTTTTGTTGACTGGAGATTTTTAATAGAATTACAATTTTTCGTATCCTCAAACGAGTTTTTGGAATTGCGGCTTTTCTGCTAGAAGTTATGTGTGCGTTTTGTAAAGCACTTTTCTTTAATTTGTCTTTTTATATGCTTCGAAACGGCTTTGAGATGTTATGTATATTCTTCTGCTTTTAATCAGTTTAAACGCCGTACTTTAATGCCTTCCTGATTGATTAGTACTCTGAAAAATGGAAAATATGATATGCATAATTCTAAAATAATATGTAATTTTAAAATAAAAAGTATTTGTATATATTTATGAGTATGCAGATAATCAAAAGAAAAGAATATTGTTGATAACGCGGTCCACATTCACTTTTTCTTATCACTTAATCGCTAAAATAGTTCAATTAATCACTTTTTACTATTACAAATTTTACCAAACTTCTAAAAGTTTTCTCCCTTGCATCTGTCACTTCACCCTTTTATTTTTGACACACAAACTCTCTCTCAAATAACCAGAGAGAGCGAGAGAAATAAACGTGCTTGCTTTCTTGAAATCTTTTTCTCTTTTATTTGCAAAACAGGAACGGAACGAAACAAGGTTGGGTTTTTATTTGCAATATTTTATTTTTCAAGATTTTCCTACATACTATTTTATAGGAAATTATTTTTATTTTTATGAATTTGTAAAGTTAAACTTTCACTGTTCACGTCACTTTCGTTCAGTTATTTGGTAATTTTCGCTGTATTCCAAAACTTTTTATTTAAATATACATAAGTACTTATGTAGCTGAATAATTCGGACGTATACACTCGCCATCACTTCGTGGCAATTTTCTTTTGTCTTTTCTGTTGCATACACTTTTCTTCCTACCCTACATTCTCTTTTCGACTATTTTGTACTGCCTTGCTCTGCCTTTGTCACACTCTGGCCTTATACACACACGTTTGCAAAAAAAATAAAATATGAAATCAACCTTTTAATACATTCTTATTGTAATATTTTTTTTTATGTACACAAATCTAAACTAGATTATACTTGTCGAATATGCTACTTCCCCGTTTTAAAGCCAATTTCCTGCACAAAACTTACAATTGATTGTACTCTGGCACAGTCAGTCTTTTCAAGCTGGGAAACAACCAGCCGCACAACAACTGCAAGAACGTGGGCTATGTCTTTTCACTATCTGCCTGCCTGTCTGTCACACTGTCCACCATGACACTGTCCTTCTAGGAATGTTTGCTACCAAACGACACAAGAGAAGTTTTCGTTTTCATTCGTTCCGCATTAATTTTTACTGTTTCACGAAAATTAGTACTTCTTCCATGCACTGGCCGTCATACTAGTAGGTTTGCTACGAACTGAACGATACTTTTTTGTACTCGTTTGTATAGCATAAAAGTACTATTTTCTCGTTGATCTGGCTGCCGTACCACTTTTCATTGACTCACTACTCGTTTCGTATATTTTTGGAAAGATCAACGTACTTCTTTACTATTCAGATCACGTACAATTATAGACAAAGTACAGTTATTCATTGCTTTCAAAACTTTTTTTAAGAACGTTCGGTTGATAACTTAATTTCACGAATACATATTTAGCAAATACACTTCATAATTGTATTCAAGAATTACTAAACTGCGTTTTACAAATGCGAAACAGACCTTTTTTTATGGTTAAAGACCGTGGTTTTCAAAAAAATAGAACAGCCTACGAAATGTACCCGTACACCTAGTTCGTTATTTTTCCGATCGTTCAGTACTATTTCGCAAACATGCCCATACTTTGAAGCACGAACGGAAAATTACCCTGCTGCCTCTACTTTTAGAAAAAAAAATCAGTATTGCACAACAGCAACCCTTTTAACTTGCTCACACTTTGTATAAAAAACATGCATTTTATTCAAGCCATATGTATATCTTGCTCGTTTACTCCTTATCGCGCGCCATATCGTAATCTCTGATGACGTACGCGTACTTTTTTGAAAAAGTACGAAATATCTGCCATTCTTCTCACGCAGTTTTTTCTCTTTTTCAACGGGCACACGTCCCCTCGTTCAACATACACACATACACTATCGAAAAACACTGATTTTGTAATGCCGTTTTTTCCACCAAGTACTTTTTTGCTATTTACCCAACAGCTACATACCGAATTTTTACTTACATGAGTTTAAAACCGTTTACTTATCGTTTTCGCACAAAAATCTATTAAAAATAAACACTTGAAATGGAATATATTGGCATGAGTTGGAGTCGTGCACTTGCATGGACTTCAAGCCATGTGCAATTTTCGCNGGCACACGTCCACTCGTTCAACACACACACATACACTATCGAAAAACACTGATTTTGTAATGCCGTTTTTTCCACCAAGTACTTTTTTGCTATTTACCCAACAGCTACATACCGAATTTTTACTTACATGAGTTTAAAACCGTTTACTTATCGTTTTCGCACAAAAATCTATTAAAAATAAACACTTGAAATGGAATATATTGGCATGAGTTGGAGTCGTGCACTTGCATGGACTTCAAGCCATGTGCAATTTTCGCAGCAGAAAGGACAGGGTTGTATTGAATTGCAATTGTCGTACGTACGTTTATCACGGCGCTACACCTTGGATTCTGCTCTACTCCTTTTTTTGCTGATGATACCAAGCCGATGACGATGACAAAACGTTGCCTTTCCGTCGGCAGGTTCGCGTTGAAATGAGCCAACAAATAGTACACGAATCTAATGTATGTATTTTAATGGTTTCTATGTACGATTACGTAATAGTTTTAGTACTTTTGTACAATCCCCTGAAATGGTACGTTAAACAAAAAAAAAGTAAAATGGTATTAGAATTTCGGTCCTTGTTTTTATTTACAAAATGGCGTTCGTGATAAGAAAGCAAAATGGAATGGTTATGAAGTTGTGGAAGTTACGACGTCTGAATCTAAAATGGTACGCTAGGTTTTTTCAACAACAAACAAACAAAAGAATTGATGTAGTAATAGTAATAGTAGTAGTAATAGTGTAGTAATAGTAATTCAAATGTAGTAATAGAGCAAAAACAAATGCGAAGAAAGNTATTGCAATTGTCGTACGTACGTTTATCACGGCGCTACACCTTGGATTCTGCTCTATTCCTTTTTTTGCTGATGATACCAAAGCCGATGACGATGACAAAACGTTGCCTTTCCGTCGGCAGGTTCGCGTTGAAATGAGCCAACAAATAGTACACGAATCTGATGTATGTATTTTAATGGTTTCTGTGTACGATTACGTAATAGTTTTAGTACTTTTGTACAATCCCCTGAAATGGTACGTTAAGCAAAAAAAAAGTAAAATGGTATTAGAATTTCGGTACTTGTTTTTATTTACAAAATGGCGTACGTGATAAGAAAGCAAAATGGAATGGTTATGAAGTTGTGGAAGTTACGACGTCTGAATCTAAAATGGTACGCTAGGTGTTTTCAAGGATTTTATAACAAAAGAATTGATGTAGTAATAGTAATAGTAGTAGTAATAGTGTAGTAATAGTAATTCAAATGTAGTAATAGAGCAAAAACAAATGCGAAGAAAGTAACAGATTATTGCATGACAAAACAAAAAGATAGGAATTTCGATTTAAAACTTGTTGCGTAACAAATATACGCTATTGTGATACAAAATGGAATATTGTTTGTATAGAATAAATAATCAGTTCGATTTAGTGATTGTGAGTAGATTGATATTCAAAATAGAAACTTTTGAACGTACGAAGATTTTTGACAGTTCCTATGTGTACCTAGTTTTAATTTCCCTCATTTAATACATTTTTTAATACCTTCACAAAAGTTTATCGATTGCAGTCGATAATTAAGAAAGTTCGATTGTCTATCCGATTCACTTAAATTTCCCCTTCTACATTTTTGACAATCAGGAGTAAAACCGATCAGCTGTTCAGCTATTTGTTGATAAGCGTGCGCGGCGTCCATATTTTGGATGAAAATTTTGGTAATTGTTTTACATCTTGAATCCACGGAATCTTGCGATCCACGGGTTAACCCGTTAACTATTCCAACCAACAATGGAGTTTGGATTTTACGAAAATAATTGTGTGTGCTGAAAGCTAACTTGCTGTTGTAGCAAGCTATAGAAAGAAGCCCGCCAAATAAATTTTAGGTCGCAGCATTTTTAAAGTAAATACTCAAATCAGCTTTTATTATTAAGTATGAATTTAGAGTTATTAGGTAAGTGTAACCATATACGCATCTTAGGTATTTAAATATTAACCACAGTTTTGTCTTTCGCTAGAGTCCTTTGGTCAGAATTATCCAGAGGAATTTGATGGCTCACTGGACTGCATATCGCTCGCGGTAACTTGTGCCTTCAACAAATATGGCACTTTATTGGCGGTCGGATGTAATGATGGACGCGTTGTTGTGTGGGATTTTTTAACACGGGGTATTGCGAAAATCATCTCGGCTCACGTGCACCCCGTGTGCAGTTTAAGTTGGACGCGCAATGGTCACAAAGTAGGAATTTTTTTAAGTTTAAATTCATAAAATTGACTTTCATAAATTTTACAGCTGCTATCTGCATCTACAGACAACAATGTTTGCATTTGGGACGTACTTAGTGGTGATTGCGAGCACAAATATCGCTTTCCATCACCCGTGTTGAAAGTTCAATTCGATCCTCGCAATGACAAACGTTTTCTTGTGTGTCCTATGCGTTATGCCGCAGTGCTAGTAAAAATAGGAGACACGCACAAATGTTTGCCTCTGGATTCAGATGTTAGTTTTGGGGCACTGTTTTATTTTTAACTGTATTTTTATATGCGGATTTAATTTTTTTTTATAAAAAATAGGGTGATCTAAATATTGTTGCTTCTTTCGATCGTCGTGGTAAACATATCTACACAGGCAATGCAAAAGGAAAAATTCTGGTTTTAAATGCAGAAACGTTGGAAATCGTTGCGAGTTTTCGTATTATTGTAGGCTCTTCAAGTGCGACGGCTGTAAAAAGTATAGAATTCGCAAGAAGAGGGGAGTAAGTGTTTGTATTTACGTAATTTCTTCTTTTTTCAGCTTTTACTTATTTTTCAGCGCATTTTTAATAAACACCTCAGATCGTGTTATACGTGTTTACGATTCAAAGGAGATTATTGCACTGGGGAAAGATGGCGAACCTGAGCCTATACAAAAATTGCAGGATTTAGTGAACAAGTGAGTAAAGTAATTTATAAATGCTGATTCAGAACACAAAGGTGTAATCAAATTAAACTATTTAAAGCTTGGCCATTATTTTACATGGTCTTAAAACTAATCTCCTATATAATACCTTACAGAACCACATGGAAAAAATGCTGCTTCTCCGGGGATGGCGAATACATTTGCGCTGGCAGCGCACGCCAACATGCTCTCTACATTTGGGAGAAATCTATTGGTAATTTAGTGAAAATTTTGCATGGCACGAAAGGCGAACTGTTGCTTGATGTTGTGTGGCATCCCGTGCGTCCGATTATAGCTAGCATAAGCTCGGGACTCGTTTCCATTTGGGCACAAAATCAAGTGGAAAATTGGTCTGCATTTGCGCCAGACTTCAAGGAGCTCGATGAAAATGTTGAATATGAGGAACGCGAATCGGAATTTGACATAACTGATGAAGATAAATCGGTGGATTTGAATGCTGATGCGAAGCAGGATGAAGAAATTGAAGTGGATGTGCAGAAAGTAGAACCAGTTGCTGCATTTTGTTCTTCCGATGAGGAGGGTGAAGATGAAAATGCATTACAATTTCTACCAATGGCGCCTGAGGTAGAGGATCCTGAAGATGGTTGGACTATGCAAGACGGTGTGGAAGTGTCATTGTCGAAAGAAAACGAAGCAACATCTCAGGATTATGACGATGCAACGGCGGCGAAAAAGCGGAAAGTGAATAATTATGATATCTCATTGCCGGATGCTCCTGTGGATGGTAAGTATATAGCATAGAGAGTTATGACATAAACACTAACTAAACGTTTTTCTAACGCAGAGACACATCCGCTAATTTCAAGCAAAACAAATAAGGACAAGCAACCGGTAGGTGGAAAGAAAACAGCTGGACGTCCAAAAAAATAGCATTTTAGGTTTTAACAAATTTACATTTCATAGCTTAGCTGCTTAATAATGATTAAAAATACTACATTTCGGTAATTTTTTTATTTATTTAATTTTATTATTGTGGATTCGCAATTTGTCCGGCGAAAAGTAATGAATTCGAACGCTTTTCTGCAATCAAATACAAGAATGGACGATTAAAGTAGAATTTTGGCGGCGAAATTTTATTAGTCAGTATCGCTGTGGCCACTGCAGCCGCTTCAGTGCCTTCCTCATTGACAATGATTTTTGTGGTTTGTACGACGTCTTTCACGAACAAGCGCTTCGACAAAATATCGAAATTTACAAGCTGTGGATTGAAGATTTCTCTTAAGCCCAACTAAAAAGCGAAAATAAAAAGAAAAAATATATAAGCTGTTTGTACCAACGAACAAGTCATATTCAAGTAAGTACCTGCTCTAATGAGCCTCTCAAAGGAAATGTTGTCGCCGTATTGAAGCGTNTATAAACACTAATTAAACGTTTTTTCTAATGCAGAGACACATCCGCTAATTTCAAGCAAAACAAATAAGGACAAGCAACCGGTAGGTGGAAAGAAAACAGCTGGACGTCCAAAAAAATAGCATTTTAGGTTTTAACAAATTTACATTTCATAGCTTAGCTGCTTAATAATGATTAAAAATACTACATTTCGGTAATTTTTTTTATTTATTTAATTTTATTATTGTGGATTCGCAATTTGTCCGGCGAAAAGTAATGAATTCGAACGCTTTTCTGCAATCAAATACAAGAATGGACGATTAAAGTAGAATTTTGGCGGCGAAATTTTATTAGTCAGTATCGCTGTGGCCACTGCAGCCGCTTCAGTGCCTTCCTCATTGACAATGATTTTTGTGGTTTGTACGACGTCTTTCACGAACAAGCGCTTCGACAAAATATCGAAATTTACAAGCTGTGGATTGAAGATTTCTCTTAAGCCCAACTAAAAAGCGAAAATAAAAAGAAAAAATATATAAGCTGTTTGTACCAACGAACACGTCATATTCAAGTAAGTACCTGCTCTAATGAGCCTCTCAAAGGAAATGTTGTCGCCGTATTGAAGCGTGGTAAATATACTTCGACCTCCTGCTCATCGAAGCCTAATGCATCCTCTTCGAGCTTTCTGAAAATTGAGCGTACACCAAGTGTCTGCAAATTATGCACCACCTGGTTGACGGAGATGCCTGCGAGTGTATTTGAGAAATTTGTAATTATTTTATTGCCTGCATTTTCAAATCTTCAACGAACCTTTGTTTGGCAGCACCACCAGCATGCATAAGCGATTCTCATTGCCGTATGGCAGTTCGAGCACATGACCTTGTAATTCAGGTAGTCTGGTGTAGTTGAATGGCGTCATTTGGAACATCATATCAACTTCGCCAATCGGCAGGCCATTCATGTCATAGAAGGTTTCCCTGTGCGTGTCGCTTTTGTTGAAAGGATACTGTAAGATTTCATCAATTAGTAAAAGTTTTTAATGAGTGATTTGTATGTTTACCTGCCATTGTCCTTTAAAATACAGCGTTGACGTCAGCAATAAATTAGCATCTTTTACGTAGTCTTCCGTAATAGCATTCGTTATTAGGCCCTTTGTTTCGGTGTTAATGGCATTATTGATGGCATTTACTGTTATCTTAGTGTTATTGAAGTTTAAATGCTGCACCCTAGCGGAGTAGCAAGTCATCAGCGTGCTCTTGTAATCCTCGCCGACTTGCTCGTAAGCGTCATAGTACATTGCCTGCAAATTTTCCACCTGTACGGTGGAAGTTTTGCGCCTAGAAATGTATAAAAGATTCAATTGTATTTGTAATTTAATTTTATTTACTAAAAACCAGTATTTTTCATATAGCCTCACTCACTGTAAGAACTGCTGTACCACATTGAATGCTTGTCGCAACGACTGACGATCCTCAGTTATGTGCAACACCGTCCGCAGTTCATTCAAAGTACTGCCCGATGCTGCCTCCACCAATAACAGCAGTAGCGCCCACACAGAAAATGGCGAAATCATGAAATCTTCATTTCCCGCAGCATCGGATATCTTTGTAAAAAGTTCCAAACCAAATTTCTCTGCACCCTCTGTTATGCTTAGAAATGCTTGCCGATTTGTACGCAGTATTGTGCTTGTATCATCTAATTTACGGCATATTTCACTGGCAGTTAGGTGGATTAAGAGGCAAACGGTGATGGGCAGGAGCAGGGAGATAGCTGTAAAAGTTGAAAGGAAATGCGTTTTATTAAATTATGTAGTAGTTACGGCATAAATTGTATTGTTTTAAGAAAATACTCATTTTAAATTGAATTTCTAATATTTCAATACTATTTGCTAAAGGATATGAATAACCTCAACCTCAATTGGCTTCATACATGGTACATATGTATATAAATATATCAACGAAAATACGCAAATTTAAAAACAGCAGATAAATATGCATTTCGGGATTCAAATGGAAAATTCGTTAAGCATGCTAAAACCTATAGGTATTTGTTTAACTTGTTTTTATTTTCATTGTTTCATATTCATTTTTTAAATTTGCATTTTTTTATTTCAGCATAAAACAAAAAAAAAAAAACATTACTCAACATTTTACATTCACAAATAACTCCATCAACCATCATATTCAATTACTAATCGTTCGCATTTAACCCCAAATAAACAAAGAAGTTAGAATTTTGAAAATCTGTAACTGAAACATGCGACAACAATCTACAGAGCTTCCAGTTGCGATATATACATATGTATGTAAGTACATTTATTTTATATATGTAGCTAGTTCAGACAACTATCGTTAATTCTCTTTGCCGCTTTCTCGTGCAAAAATACGCACGGTGAATACCCTTTTTTATCTCTGATAACTCGCTAATTGCTTGAGTTCTTGGTTGTCTGACCCCATAGCAGAATAAACAAAACGAGGGCATCGGGGTTTTCCAATTTACAGAGATTTAAGCACACAACTGACGTAAATTGTGTGTATTTTTTACAATCGGGAGAGAATATCGAACAAAACATGAGTATGCACATACATATACATTAGGGTGGTATGAAATTCACGAAAAATGGCTACTGATGGCACGACGCTCTTTTTCATTTTGCTCTTCGAGAAGAAAAAAATTCATGTTTTTCCAAGCGTGCGATGAAATTTTAACTTTTTTTAATAAATCAATAAAGCTAAGAATAATATTTCTAAACTGACCGCCCTAATGCGATTTCTGTATGCATGAATATGCGGAAGTGCATGTTAGCAAGTGTATTCGAGTAAATACTGCTCCCCTCAATTGCTATATGGAGGCAGGTAGAAAAAAGTCATGGAGACAGTTGATAAAAAACCTGTTGGGCTTAGAGAGGGAAAACTAAAAGTCACAAATACCAAATTTCACATAATTTACTTGTTTGTTGGTTTGTTTTTTTAATTGAATGTATGCATGTACATTTAAGTGGTCCAAAAATGTATGTAAAAAAATAAGGTCGCATTTTTAATGCCGCCACCCCTAAGATTGTTCTGTACCGACAAAAAATATACCCCTATTTTTTATTTTGAAATAAAAAAAATTTATGGCGCGCTGAGAGCGCTCAAAGTTTTCAATGTATTTTATATGGGAGAAAAACATGATTTAATTATTAAAGGTTTTGTAAGTAGCTTTTTTCTAAAATTTGAGACTCCCACCCACAGGGATGTTTTTTGGAAGCAGGAGGAAATGGGGAAGAATTCAATCACCTTCAAAAAGTAGCGAAGTTCCACAAAAAGGTGTTCATAATAGTGCATGGTAGTATTTGCTGTAATTATTTAATTGAAACCATCTTATTT